GCATTATAAGACAATGACAGATCAACTACTTAACAGGAGTGCGTCTTTCCAGGTACCAAGCGTTCAATAGTTAAACTCGAGTTATAGACTCGATATGTCTTGTATAATTCAGATACAATAATAATTTTTGCCTTTTTGTCTTTTTTACACGGGTGTCTAATTCGAATTATAAATTCGAATTCGAAAAAAATTTATCTTATTTCTTTTTACCATAGTTGTATAGGTGTCTTATTTGAATTAGTAATTCAAATTCGAAAAAATTTTACCTTTTGCTTTGGCTAAGCTGGAAAAGAGGAGTGCTTCATTTTTTTTTCTTTTCGAAGCGATTCTATGCAGTTGAAGTTTCATTTATATTCTAACTCGAATTAGGCATTTCATGAAGTGATGAGAGCAATAAGGACAAAATTTGAACAAGACTTTAATGCCGAAAACAAACTGCATGAATTAAAAGAACAAGCGATTACTCAATGCTAACAAGAAAAACGGAAAACAAACAAGAAGAAAGATTACGACAATCACTCATTACACAAGCACTTCAAACTTCAGTCAACTATATGAAAGAAATTGTACAGATCATTAATTAACCAAAATGATGTTCATACAATCTATTATGTTTTTCATGAATAAAATGTCTGAATCTTGCCATGATGAACACGTTTAGTTCTCTTGAAAATAAAATGCTTGGATGTGGGTGTGGGATGTGGATGCGGGTGTGAGTGTGAGTGTGGGATGTGGGTGCGGGCGTGAATGTGAGTGTGATTTTTATTGTGTTACCATCCAAACCTACACCCATCCACACTCACATCCACACCCACACCGACACCCTACACTCACCCACACCCACACCCTCATTTGTTTCAAAAACCGGTGAGATAAGAGCTGATTGCTTGCGTCGTACGCTTGATGTAAATATTGGCATAACAACAGAGCGAAAAATCAACTAGACTGATTACTTCCCAGTCGAGAAGAAAACATCAGAGAAAGAATAGAAACAAGTGAGTCCCGTCGTTTTGTTCTGCCAAAATTGAATTGCTGTCGATATGCACGGACACCATTGATATTCATTGTTGGCATGAAGTCACTAAAAGCTTGAATAAGTTCACGACGAAAGGCCGTTGTGGTGAGAGTGTAGAGAAAAAATGATATACCATGATTCATGAAGAAAGCCAAATGAACAATGGCGCCCACCAGTTTGGCCGTCTCTGTCAATGACGCCGACTCAAATGAGTAGTAAACAAACTTATTGATGATGTAAGGAAGTGTGAGCACTGCATTGAAAATACTATGAGTAATTACAAGACCAATGAAAGAAAACTCTCTCCGAGATAGAGTGGGATGCACGAGACGTCGAATGCGACGTATCTCAGTGACGGTAGCAACATTGATAATAGCCATAATTATAATAGGACATAGTCCGTAGAAAATACAAAAGAAGATATCAAAAAGGTAACGATAAACACCGAGTCGCGCATAGCATTCGCCCTGATTGATCTCGAACAGAAATGGAATATGTAAATTGATAAGGAGACAGAAGGCAATGAGTAAAGCAATTATTATACATGTTGTTCGACGCTCACAAAAAAGCACGTAACAGTGATTATTCTTGGTGAGTTGAGCCTGCCGAACACGAGCATATCGATTGATACAGGCCGATGTGAGTAAAAATGATGAAAGTAGATAGTTGACATGAGTCAAATAGCGACGGATCTTACACCAAATCAATATATGATTTTCCAGTGGTAGAAGAAAACCGTTGGTGAGCGATCGGACAAGTAAACCAATAGTGAGAACCAGATAATTATTGAGAGAATAAGCAATAAAATAGATTGAACATGAATTAGAACGAAATTTTTTACGCAAGAATACGATCAAATTGAGTGTATTTCCGATGAGCCCGAGTCCAAAGACGGCAAGATAGATGTAACGTGAAAAGATGTAAATTCGAACAAATATTAACGTGTCATCAGCACCAGTTCTATTCATCATATTCGCTGTTACTCTACTCCTCTATATTCATGTTGCTTCGTGATTATTAAAATAAACTACGCAAATGAATGCAATCATGTTCCTTGCGTTGGAAGATGACGTCATGACATATATTCACTTTCAATTAGAACAGTGTATTATTTGCATATGTAAATTCTGTCCGTATGTGTATATTGCTTCAATTTTCTGCTGGTTGTATATATCGTTTTGCAGGCTTCTTCGTACAAGAAGGTAGATATTACTAATAGTTGACACAGCCATAAAATTGGCGGATTCTGGTCGTTGCTATATTTCTTACTGGAGTTATATTTCATATTTTTTCATATGAAGCTGTCATTCCGAGCAATATAGAAACGATCTATTATATCTCGATTAATTTTTTTTTCGCTGACTCTTCGAGACCTCGGCATCTTGACGAAAGAAAGAAATATCGCTTTGTCTGGTTACACAACTTTCTATGTTTGTATTTCCTAATTCACTATAAAAGTGAGTTTGTCGTGTATTTTTCGATGTCTGATAAGGGTGTAGAAATATAAGAGACAGGCGTATCCATACAATCATGCATGCCGACTCATCAATATGCACTCATCTATAAGAAATACACATATAGATAAGCCAATATACATAGGCAATCAAATATAGGTAAAGAAATAAGGGATCAGTATAAGATATTTCCTATACATCTGGAGTGTGATATATAGGTACAAACGGCTAGATATAAAAACAAGAGTTGATGTATAGAAATAAGGAGTTCGGTATAAAAATGAGGAACATGACATAGTTGTAAGAGTTGTATTTAAAAATAACAGGTTGGATATACGAATAAAGATTCGACATATTTCTACCCAAGAGTATCAATGTCACAGTCGCATCCATTCAAAGTACATACGGTCCGATTGGATTCCGGTGGGATCTTATCGAATTCCATCAGAACCCGTAGGAGTATTGTCGAAATCAGGGCACAGAATGGCATTTGGATCTCCAGTGTTGGAATCTAGTGGTAACCAGTCGAGCGCTAATTATGTGAGTGCTGCTTAGATGGGTACTAATTGAGTGAATACTAATTAGGTATGTGACGATCAAATAGTGAATTTTTAATTTCGAGTTCACATGTTAGGCTCACTTTTTCGGATCTTCTAAGTAATCTACTTCCGTCTGTTTTAGTTACAGATGATTGTGTGAGAAGACTGATATCACCTTATATATACATGTGGCCGCTTACGCATCTCTTATCCGTGGATGTCTATCAGGTCTACTCAATCATATCTCCTCCGCCCATGCGTATCAAATCCCATGGTAGAACATCAATGGAATTTCTAAGGCCTCCGACAATTAAATGTCATTAGATAATCATCAGAATTCGATTATCGGATCTGCCAGCGATTCCGCAAATCCGATATCCGTATAGTTATAATTGAATAAGAAATAGACATGAGTATAATATGCATAGATCAAGTGTTATTACATTGGACATAGCTTGAAGTATGAAAGCGTTTATGAAACGAAAGTAAAAAACAGTAACTCACAAGACTCTTTTCTACGTTTTGTGCGATACTTTTTTTTTAAAGTGTATGATATCTTCATCTTACTTTATAAGAAAAAGCATTCAAAACCTCTCTTAAGCTAAACATACGAATCGTCTTTACCTACACTCATTGATTATGTATGGCATTATTCTAATCGGTTCTTGAATAAATATTAAATTATTGGTTCTCTCTCACGATGTGTTTGTTATACTTACCTACTGCGCATAGTATGTATTGAAAACTATGCATTGGAAGTAAGTATAACAAACGCACTATGTAAGGGAACCAATAGTTTGATATTTGTATAAGAATCGATTAGAATATCGTCATGCATAACCTGTGTTTACCTAGAGAGAGGTTTTTCAATGCTTTTCGTTGTAAAGTAAGACGGTGTAGGTGTGGATGTGAGTGAAAAAGACAACCACACCCACACCTAATTTTTCTTGTTTTCTGCACTTCAGTTATCTTGAATTGAAAAAAGGATCTCCTGATAAATTCATCTTTTTTAGACTCAGTTTGATCGGGAACAGAGGATATCAGAGAAGAATGAAAAGAAACACTATCGGTTTCATCTCGATACTTTGATCCGACGACTGAATGAGTATTTTGAGAGCTTTCGTTCTGAAGATCATCGCAACACAAATCAATAGCTTTGAAATCTGCTTGAGACTATCTCATCAGCTTTCATGGTCTGGGATGAAGAATGAAGACCAAATTGTCTAAATTGTCATTGTTCGAAACGTCCTGAAGATGAGCGAAAACTCATATTGAAGATTCGAAATCATTTGGATCATCTCGCGACATTGACCTCTCTGACAAAATTTGCACAAGTTTCTAGTGAGCCGCCATTATCTAGATCATCCCGATACAAGGTATAAACTTTGTCATAGCAAAAAATACGCTAAGTATGAAAGCCGAATGCATATGCGAAGGACTACGTGAATGCTGTGCTACGCACCGCAGTTATAATTAATATACCATATACTGTCATTTTCAAAAAGCAATGAATTTGGCTGCTTTTGTAAACAGCTCTAGAATGGAAAGAGGTAGGAAACTGTGGTTTTCACAAATCGGTAGCTTTTTTCATGTATAAATTATCTCAAGTGAGCTGTCTTCTTCTCTTTGAATTCAACTAAGAATATTGTTGATTGTTAATTAGAAGAATAGTGCTGAATTTTCAATCAAAGCTATCGATCGCATAGTCTTATCGTTGTCTTTGAGTCATATTCATGTTTTCACTAGTTGAAGCAAAGCAGATTGATTAAAATTTTCGATTAAAATATTCATTTTATCATCTTGAATATACAAACCAAGTTTTAATCTTTCAGTGAATTGTTTTATAATGCATGAAATTCGAATTGTAAAGTTAGAACTAAAAAATTTCATGTTTAATCGTATATAAACTGTCAGTCGATCAATTAATCGAATAACATTCTACTTTATTGATATTCTGATAAAAAATAAAATATCGAAATCTATTATTGCTCTTCAACTAAAATTTAGACAAGTCAAAATGACGTGTCTATCAGTGTCTGTGACTGTTGGAAGTTGTTTTCCACCCTTCGGTAAAAATTCTAGTTCATCAATACAATCCCAGTTCAAGTTAAATGTCTTTAATTCATGGTAACGAAGTGTAAAAGTTATTGTGTGAATTGTCTTTCCAGCACGTCGACCAACAACCGTTAAAATGACTTTATCTTGAAAAGCGCACGTCGCCTCAAAGGATAAAATAGAAAATGTATTCCGAGAATCGCACATTGTAATTGGTTGACAACCAAAATTAAATATGACACATTTATTATTTTGCTTAAAAGCTGTGTCAAAACCAGTATTTGGATATGATATTTTTCCATGTTGGTGAGGCATAAATGCACCATTGTGCCATGTAAAACCAGCATAATTAGATGGAATCGGGTAATATGAATCAAGTTCATCATATTGCTCGATTAAATCATCGAAGTTAATTGTTCTCTTTATTGTAATGTTTTTATGAGCTGCAATGAATAATCATATATGATTTTATTATCATGTGTTTCAAAAGAGAAATATTTGTACATGCTCACGACAAGTCAAATTTTCAACATACCTTTTAAAAGATCAACAGTTTTAGTTAACTCATCAATCTGAAGTTGTTGTGCTTGATATCGTTCGTTGATACTGATAATTTGTTGCTGTTGATTAGTGACTACTTGTTCAAGCTGAGTATTCTTTGTTTGAATGAGTTCTAAAATAGGACGGATTTGTTGATATGGACATAATTTTAAATGATCATTTAGTTGATATCTTGGTCCTATCCAAGGGCATAATATATCGGATGCCGAACAGCAAACATCTGTCTTGGTACATGTCTTTGATATATGATCTGAAAATGAACCACGTGGAATTTTTTCAAGGTCACATGCTAAACATTTGACTAGATATCGATCGATTCGATTTGTAATAAGACGACTTGCTGGTTTTAAATCATCTTCTATTGATAATGAATGACGACAAATTGGACATGATTTATTATCATCAGTATTCTTTCGTAACCATTGTTCGATACATAATCGACAAAATGTATGATCACAAGGTGTACATGTTGCTTTTTCAAATGGTTCATTACAAATCAAACATTTGAATTCATCATCGATTGACGCATCATCCATATAGACAAATCCACACTCATCAGTCATCTTAAATTATTTAAAAAACTAAAGAAATGAAAAGCAAAAGCTCAATCAAATCAACATGCATTGCCATGTTTTTCATCTTACCGTTTGAAACTTTTCTTTTCAACGAACTTATTTTTTGCTAAGACATTACACGATTCACAATTTTCGTTCTTCATACCTTTTGGTTTATTTTATTTGTTCTAATCGTCACGTGGATGTGTTGATGTTGAAAAAAACTCACAGACACACATTATTCGCATGTTAAAAGACGATGAATTTCTCTCGCAATTTAAAATCGATACTAAGAAAACTTGATGTTATTCAATATTATTTGAAGGTGAGACGGACGTAAATATTCTAATGAGGATGTGAATGAGAGTGGATCTTGCTCTCTTACGCATTCACATCCGCTCTTCTATCAGAAAATCTAAACTTTTTCTCAACAAAAATAAATAAATAGAAGTTACTTGAAGTTAGTGAGTGTTATTGCTGCTGTCGGATTAATTCGATTTGATCTCCTTGATTTCAATAAACGAAGATGAGAAGAATAATATGTTTGTACGAAACTCATACCAATAAATGATAATATAAATGTTGACCATGTTAAATGATTTGCCCACCACCCGATATAACCAAATAAATAAAAGATAATTGTTGTACTACATGCAGGCATACCAAATACAAGAATAAAAATAATTAACCATAATATACGCTTTATAACAATAAAATCTCGATTGATTTTTGTTTGTTGTTGTCAAGTGAACTTTAATGAATTCTATCGTATATAACGAAATGTATATACATAGATGACTACTGTTATTGATACAGGTAAAAGCCATATGAGAAAGGCTGCCATTAAAATACCACGATCATTTATCAAATTAATTTGACAATAATAATCTTCATATTGGAAGTTTCCAATAAGAAGAATTGGTAATGGTTAAAGAGAACTTATAATTACTTGAATTAATAAAATAAATATATAAAAATAAATATTAACATGGAAAAAAGGTCGATTATAATAAATAATTCGAAAGAAATGATAAAGAACTTGACTTGTAGTTGAATATAATGAACTAATAAGAGCAACGGTTGATAAATAGACTTTTAAACGACAACATAATGTATCATCATTGATCTGAGACATATCTGGATAAAGATGACCTTTAATCATTGAGAAAGAAACATATCTATTGGAAAAAGAGAAAATATAAATATGCTCATATACATATTAAAACTAAGAAGAAAAAGAATTTTCTCTTTTGATTTTGTTAATTGTCGACGTATTAATATAAGTATGATAAATACAAATGTTTTACAAACAGCTATAATCCATAGACGAATTCCAATTGAATCGAGAATCATATTAGGCACAAAAGATCTTGTTACAGCAAATATTTCTTCCCTCGAGTTACTGTTTGTCATGTTGGATATTGCAGAAATAAATAGCGTTTGCTTGTTTTTTTTAAAGGTCTGCTTTTGATAATTAATATAATAAGAATAGAATGTGTTCTCGAGAGCACATCTTAATATATCAGCAACATTCATTCAATAAACATTCTCTTACATAATTATTTCATTTTTGCAATGATTGAGTCTATTTCATCGCCACTTGACTTCTATTCGAAAAACTGACTTCATATAAATTGTATTATTGATTGCTTTCGAACGATTTCATGTCGAAAACGCTTTTAAAATTCGTTGGTTGGTTGTTAAAAGGTTGTTCCATGATAAATATAGAATATTTTTCTGCTAAAGCAACATTTCGACGTTGATAAAATTGAGCTAATATTATCTAAATTTGACTTGAAAGATTTAATTAGCAAGATTTGAAATATGACATTTTTTTTTATTTCATTGGATTTTATTATGTTTTTCACTTGTTTATTCTTCAAATTAGGTCTTTCTAATTGAGTCCAACGATGATGATTGTTCAATTTAATAAACGTCTATCTATTAATTGAACATAAAAATATTTCCTCGTTTTTAATTTTGCTGCAGATGAAATTCTTGAATTTTCCAAAACTATTGAATGAAAAAGACATTAATATCACAGATAAAGATAGGGTAGAATATCGGTTCTGTCTGAAACAGACAGCCACTTGATGTAACAAAAATATATCTTGATGAAGGTAATTAAGTTTGAAAAAAAACACTTTTTTGTAATCTTCAACCTATAAGTTATGCAAGAAATAAGTGCATGCTTTTTGGTTCCAAACCGAATTGGTTTTGTTCTTCTAAAGTTCAAATCAAACTGATCTCATGTCTTGTGTATTGATGTTGATACAACTATTTCAGATACTTTGTGATATATATGATTAAATAAAGCGTATGATGTTAATGATTGAAATAATTAGATGATAGAGTTGACCTTTCAGACAGCGGCGGATCTAGGATTTTTTTGATAAGGGGCGATTTGATAGATATGGGGCGATTTTGACCAAAAATCGAGTTTTGAAGTTCATTAGTAGTAGTATGCACTCTATTTTTAAGTCTTTTCTGCTGGGAAAAATCGAAAAATTTTTTTTCGAATGGGGGCGATCGCCCCCAACGCCCCCCCCCCCCCTAAATCCGCCACTACTTTCAGACTTGCCGATGTATTCTATCAAAAAAAGGTAAAGCATGGTGAAGCAATTCTGAAAAACGCTGAGTCCGTCTTTTTTGTTGATAATTTTTTTAAAACCTTTACATGTTTTTTAAAATATCAATAGATTAACAGACATACAAACACGAATACAGTCTGTGCTCTTTGTCCGTTAATATGATTACAGATTTAGAGATTAGTAGATTAATAATAAAATTGACTTGGTGATATTGAATCAACAAGTCTATTAAAAATCACAAGAAAAAAGAAAATAACTTAAGTACATACTGAGTTTGTACAACACACTCATGCAAACCTAAGATTACTTAAATTAACCAAATGAAGTTTTTCTCTTTCTCCCTATAACTATAAATGAAGCTCTTTGTGATATTCTACATAATTTAAATCTTTATTTTGTTGACAATTCAGTAACTTCAGAAAAGGTTCCAAGTAGCGTTCACCTTGTTTCTTTTGTGTTGTAATTTGTATTTTTAAATTAATCAAATTTTTAAAACACTTTTTAAATTGATTCATTACTATGTTTAGTATCAATAATTGCTTATCACTGTCATAGTTCTGTTGGATATAAATAAGGTTATGTTAACTGAGGTAAGGCTTGGTTCAATTTGATAAGAAATGAAGAATAAAGTTCTGTGTCACATTAATATGTCAAACATATTCTCATCTTTAGTTGAAGAATCGTAATAGCTTTGAGTAATGAGATCATTTGTTGCGAATTCGGAGTTGATTAATCAAGCAAACATATGTTAGGTACAACTCATCCAATAACTTGAGGACTAATTGTGTAACCGTTCGATCGCAGTTCATCACTAAAACCTTTGTCTAATCGTGGACAATGAGAAGTACGAATTAAGTACTGAAAATATGTTAGATAAAGAAAAACGTCAGTCACAGTTTTAAACTGCTGAGAATCAGCAAATTGTTCCTCATAGCTGGCAAGGATCAATATCAACGATTTTAACCGCGAATAGATTGGCTAAGTCGTGTAAATCTTCTAGCTGTATTGTTACGAATTTTATGTTTGACATTCGAAGGCTAGATTGATCTTGACCATTTAAAAAATAACTGTAAGGAGATGAGTTTAGTCATGTGATACTCGTTAATGCAGGTCGTGTATGTGTACTAATCTTTTCTAATATATGAATAAGATTGAAATTATCCGAGAAGTTTATGTTCCATTCAGTTAAATATGGAAAATGTTTCAATTGTTTCGAACAGAAGTTAATGATAGTATCCGATATTTTATATTCTTTGAAACTATCAATCCATGTCAAACGTTTCAAGATATGTAACTGTTTGATATATTCTTTAAAATAATTCAATTGTTACCTATTATGCAATATAACCTCGTAAATATCGTTTTGGTATAGAGGTGATAATTGTCGACAAAAACAAACGTATAATTTGAAAGATATCCTTATATATATACATATACAGTTCAATGCATTCAATGAATATCGTCTACTAAATTTATCGAAAATATCAGTTTTATGTAAATTTATAAAATCATTTATTTTTAAATGATGTTGACAGAAAAATATCTCTATGCAATCTGAAATTTGAAATTGAATTTTGTTATTCGTTATCGTTTTAAATAAAGAAAACATATTGTATATGTTTTTTTTTGTTCATTTTTTATCAAAGCGAACAAAAAATGATTTATGCAGTTTTTACAACTTGGAAAAATCAGGTGAATATTTGATTTCTATTCGTTTTCATCAAACTTCTAGAGAACCCATTCCAAATTAAATGATCATCTGAATTAAATCTAGAAGTTTTATAATAAAAGTAACTGATGAAATAAACCCATCATTTGATTAATGCCCCTGAATGTATGAGAGAAAAATTCAAGAACTTACTTTGTCTACTGATTGGAATACAATGAATATGGGGGTGGATGTGAGCTGCGGATGGTGATGTAGAAGCGGTTGCCATTTTCACCCACACCCATACGCACACCGACATCCACTCACTCACATCCACACCCACAAATGCCAAAGCACACTTCTGTTTGTGTGACGTCAAAGCAACGATGCTGCTAAAATTTTATAAAAATATAGTCAATTTTTCTTTTATTTCGAAGACCTAGTGAGTTTTTTCTTCGAAGCTCAAAAAGTTGAAAATTTTGTACAGAAAATTTGAAGCACCTGGTGAGTCCTTTGTAACAATGACAAAATTTGGATAGCAGTGATTTGTTTTCGAAGGGTGTGGGTGTGGGTGTCTCAGTGAAACGAATACCTACATCCACATCCACATCCACACCGACACCTACACCCACACCCACTCCCCGAAAACCACTTGATGAGAATAAAAACGCAATATTTTACTAAGAACTCGGTTACAACTCAAATTTAAATAGTGTGGAGAGAAAACTGAAAGATAGATTGAACTCATGTCACCTATGGTTTTAGCAACTGCGACGCATTTTAGTGACAACTGCAAAAAATTGTGAGGCTGTTTTATGTAGCCACTATGATAGAACTACAGTTGCGCGCAACTACCGTTTGATTTTCACAACTATACACAAGTCTATAGTCTTTTTCATGACTACATGTAACTGTGTTGCAATTCGATCGCAATCGAAAACACGAAAATAATGCTATTTAGCTTCAATTAGCATCTGTACCTTATCCATTTTATCAACCATACTGAAAGGCAGTATATTTCTATAATTTAATTTATACATAGATTATTTTTTTTATCCAGAATTTTCATTAGATGTTCGTGTTATACTCAATAGTGAAGGTTAGAGATTTGCAGAAAACATAAATTTGTTTTTTATTCAAAAGCGATGACTGCATTTATAAATACATAATGCGTACTTCAATTTAGGAGATCTCAACTTCAGCAAGAATGTTTCTCCTGCGTAAACAAGTGAACTCATCATCGTGCGACTATCGACTGTAAAATATTGCCTCCGTTACTCATACTACCATCATACTCTTTACGTCTATATTCTGTTTCCTTTTGTTCTTAAAACGTAGCATGCTAACTTAGATGATTCTTATAACAGTCATAAATACATTCAACACTATATTTCTAAACTGTCTTTCTTCGCCTTGTTATCATTAATCATGAAGGCACTGTTTTTTCTGAATAAAAGTGCATTTCTGCAGAAGTTTACCTATTATTTACTATTTGTGCAGTCAGAAATAATAGCTGCATGTGAGATGCTGACAAGCAGTTGTAAGTCTTATGCATGAGTAAATAGAAAGCATTGTTTGTTCACGCATCATCTATCATTCGAATGCGTTACCATGGAACAGCACTCAATACATAGGCTTTATGGTAACAACATTATTTCCAATGACAGCTTTCGAGTGGCATACAACAAACATTATTTTTCTCCGTCTACTTACACACACTGTGATGTGCATTAGAAAAAATTACAACGCGAGGAGACATGAGTATTGCATCGTTATGACATGCATCCAGCGTGTTCGTTATGCATCCCGATGAAAATGTGAGTTTCGGAGTGGTCGTCAAGATACGAGTATCAGGATGATCGTTTAGGCGGAAACACGACTGTTGCTCTCCAGAAAGATGCTTCCGCGACAGTTGCTCCCCAG